AAAATGATTTCATTCCAATTCCAAGTGAGCACCACAAAAACTCAACATTATCTTGAGAAACAAAACAGATGATTTAAATTTCCTGTTTTAGTTGTTGCATTCTCTATTTCAGGATATTAGTATCAGCCATCAGAGGAGAATGGCATTCAACTTTATGAAATAATATTTAGTAAAATTGCATTTACCCTCAGATTGTTCATTGAAGAAGACCATGAACTAATTTTTAATTTTACCAGCCCAACTGGAAAGTTGCACATCTTAGGCATACAGGCTGGTAGTAATTTCAGTTCTAGGGTAATTTTAAACGTTGGTAGTTACTGTCAGCATTACTGTCATCGCCATTTTGTTCCAGACACCCAACCAGCTTGAAGAGTGCTACACGATTAGATTAAGTTGGGTCAAACCAACCTCAACAAGGATATGTGGGGACTTGGACACGCTGAATATAAATAGAAGATCATGATGCAATTGCCTTTAATTTATTTCATTCAATCATATAAATTGCTGTATAATAAATAGCAATGTTGTCTGAAATGTCAGTATACTGTCTCTGATGTGTCTGGTGCTTATCATAGTGCTCGTAAATGTGCGCATTTTAATAGCCGAAAGGCACATCCTCGTAAAAATGGTTTGAACTAACCGGTTCTAATTATGTAACATTCTCGAGAAGCACATTGCACTTAGCTGGCATTGTTACTGTTTTGGTGATCGGAATAATATAAGGCAATGTTGACTCAAATGTCAGTACACTGTCTCTGTTATGTCTGATGCTAATCATAGTGCTCGTAAATGTGCGCATTTTATTAATAGCCGAAAGGCACATCCTCGTAAAAATGGTTTGAACTAACCGGTTCTAATTATGTAACATTCTCGAGAAGCACATTGCACTTAGCTGGCATTCTTACTGTTTTGGTGATTGTAACAATATAGCAGTGACAGTGAGATATGAAATTTTATTTTTTATTTTAGCTGCTGAAAAGGAAAGAACAAAGACTCTTGGGAAAGCTGCCATTGGAGGTCCTTTTGATCTTATTGATCACGATGGAAAGCCAACTTCTAACAAAGATTTTCTTGGCAAATGGGTTTTATTGTACTTTGGTTTCACCCACTGTCCAGATATATGCCCTGATGAGTTGGAAAAGATGTGCTTGGCTGTTGATAAAATTAGTAAGTACATTTTACGACTGTCACATTGGCACGTAAATAATGATCACACTGCATTTATCAAATTCAATTTCATCTCTATCGAGTTTGTCATTTACAGTGTTTCTATCAAACTTGCACTTCGTATTTTATTCATCAATAGAATGTGAACATTTTGAGAAAATGGTGAAATAATACAAATAATTAATACCAGCTGTTTTCATAGACCACAATGAAAACCCACTAAAAGTATTGTAAATTTTTTAAACATCAAAAGTACTTTGTTGAAGACACTATATATTTTTTTTTATAACTTTACTGGTATATTCCTGTGCAAAATTATGAAATATTAAGATATATCCTTGAAACAATTATTATAGTAAATAGCCTAAAATAGTCACCATCAATATTGTAGCAGTCAGTAGTTTTTACAAAAACATGGTTTTTTATGTGATATGCAAATTTCACTCAAATGATAGGTTTAAAATTGATGAAATATAAATGAAGAATTTTAGGTTATTTGTAATTACTGTTTGTTTTCATTTTTAATTATCTTATTTCCACTCCTTGATTTCAGATAGCATTAAAACCATTCCTGATATAACGCCAATTTTTATAACTATTGATCCTGAAAGAGACTCCCCTCAAGCTATGAAAGAATACTGCAAAGGTAAGTACATACTTGAGCTACAATTGCTGTACAACTGATTCTTACAGTGTGTCAGTAGGTGGTAGTGGGCAGGGTGTGAATACTGTGGGGGTGATATAAGGATGTCTTGCAGAATTGTGTGTGGCATAATCTACTATGAAATCAGACTTGTATGTGGGCACAACGTATCTAAATATCTCTTGTCAGCGTTCAGTCTAAAAGCCTCGCTAGTTTCTAATATCGCCACAACTTCACTCAGTTACTGAATCACTGGTGTGATCTAAAAAAGTATATGTAGTACTGTTAGTGTTTTGAAATCATACTCACTAAACCATCCAGCAAAGTGGCATTTATAGCTTACTGAACAGTTGACTAGAGATATTCAGAGATGTTGTTCCCAGGGTGAATAATGCCAATATCCTGACGCCATCAGCATAGTGGCTTTAATAGAGAAAGTATATCAATTTTATTATACAGAATTCCACCCAAATTTAATTGGACTAACTGGGGCAAAGGAAAAGGTTGAAGAAGCTGCAAGGTCTTATCGAGTTTATTACAGTGCTGGGCCTAAGGATGAAGACAACGATTACATTGTAAGTTTGACTTTTGATGTTTGCTGCCAATACTAATCACAGTAGTTATAATTTATCGTTTTGCATAAAGTACCAGTCTTGTTGAATAGAATCTAGTAAATATAGCAAGATATAATTGTTTTTGACACCAAGCTCATGATCCCAAGTTAAAGTTCTACCAAGATTTGAGCACCAGAACAGCATATTGAAAAAAAACACTACGGCAGATTAAGATGAGTTTATTTGTGACTGACTATGCAAAGTTAATGTTTTGTATTAAACAGTATTTTTGACACATTATGCGCTCCTTCTTGCGAGACTTACAAAAACTCATTTTCAACATTCTGTTGGTATTTGAGCACTCAGACTTTGACTTCTTATGATGGTGTAAATGTGTTGTCTATCAATACATGCTTGAAATAATTAATATGTAAACTCATGCAGAATCGTTGCTAACCTTAGAAAGACCATTTGCATGCAACTGCTGCAAACCTCAAAGAAAATAGAATGGTGTCCCATGTGATGTCTATTGTGCATTGTGTGTTCAAATTATCCAATTGTGCGGTTCCATGCATCACTTAAAGCGGGGGAGTCGTCACCTGCGCATGCGTCAGATGGCCATAGAGTGTCATTGTTTACAAACAAGCGTATACCCATGAGCCTTTACGTTTTTAGTGTGTGTTGTTATCGTCGCTTGGGACTCAATTCCTACGCATGCGCAGGTGATAACACTCCCGCTTTAATGGATGTAGTAACACATTTCCTAAAAGCCTGAATTGCCAAGCTACGCAACTCTATGTCTTCCATTCTGAAATACTGTACTTCTTGAATCAAAATTGAAGAGTTTCATGTTCTGAATAGAATAAGTTACTACATGTGTATATAAGCATTCTTAGTTGCTCTGTCTTTTCAAATTGTTGAAGTTTACCAAAAAAAAGATATTTCTGCTTTTTGGGGGGGGGGGGTGTCAAAGGAATATTCCGTATAGGTGGCAAGCATTGATTTTTAATCTTGTATATCTCATGTGTTTTCATATCCGCATAATATCTTACATGTGTATATACAGGGGGAGGAGGGTGTATAATCCTACATGAAGTTCCTTTTGTTTTTTTGCCAAACTAACTAATAATTTGACAATACCCTTTAATATTCTAAAGTAATTATATATATTAATTTTTTTTAACAGGTGGATCATACAATAATTATGTATCTAATAAATCCAGAGGGTGCATTTTTGGATTACTATGGGCAAAATAAGAATGATGATGAAATAGCTGGCAGTATCGCATCTCATATGAGAAAATACAAACAGTTCTAAGGTTACAATGGCCGAGATATATCAGATGCAGATGTGTGTGGTGGTATTGTACAAATGGTATTGGTGGAAAGCAGAGACTCTTGAATGACCATCGGGAATACAATTATATGTATACTCATTGAAGACCAGCTAGTGTCTGTTAAGTCAACAGATATTTAGCTGACAATAGATTTGATTTCAAATGGCCGCTGAAATCTCAACATGAGGTTGGTTATTGTACCTCAAATAATGTTCATTTTCTCATGTCATTATGGTCTACTCCTAATACCATGGTTACATAATAGTGGACTTGACGGGAGAGAAGGAAACACTATTTAAGGGATAAAACAAGTCTTGTGGCTAGCTTCCTCTCAACAATATCTTGGCAGCCATATTGTCTTAAGGTCAATTTGGGGTCACCAGTATATCATGAACTCTACTTAACTGTTTGACGCTGGTACAATTTTATTTCTCAAAACAACATTTTTGCTGTACAAACTTGTTTGGTGGCAGTTCTTATATATATGTATAAAATAACCAACTGATGGTCGTCACAGTACATTCTGTCCTACTACAGGCCTGTCAACAGTAAATTCAAGAAAGTTAAATTTAACAGCACACCTTGTCCCAAATCAGCTGACTCTTCAAACACCATCACATAAAATAAATTATGTTTTTTCAAAATAAATAAATAAAAAACAAATACATGAAACTGTAATACCCAACTCCCACTTACCCATACTCCAAATTTGGCCCAAAAAAATCGTACAAGATTGATGTATGTTACAATATAGGTATAATCATTCTTCTTTTATCATTTACCGGTATAAAATATATCAGCATAATTTTTTCCATATTTTTACAAAAATGTTAATCAAGATCTGGTCCAATGGGAAAATTATGTCCATTTGGTTCAAAAATAAATGAGCAAAAAGTTAGCCTAAAATTTTGGCAAGAAAAAATTATGGCGCTCAAAAGGAATGATGAATAAAAAATCCCCCACAGTGCCATATTGGATGTGGAAACAGATTTATGGGAGCGTCTCGTCTCTTCATTGAATCAAAGATGACACTGTGGAAAATTCATTATTGTTATAAATCAGAATTAAGCACATTAGGTTTGGTTTTTGTTGTGGAAATGAATTAACTTGCAAATCATGATCATGTTCTAGGGTGAATGACAGTTGTTTATGGGCTCAAGATGAGTTGTATATTTTATAAATTCAGGATAAAATAAATGCAATTTTTTGCTTTTATTACAGATTTATGTGCTTGTCACTGAGAAATTATTCTTCATACAATACAATTATTCCGCAGTAATTGTGACCATAGACACATATCTATAATTTACAATGCTATATATTAAAGTGCATAAACTAATGTAGCAGGCTAGTACCTGGCCAGCGAGTGCAGCAGAGTACTGTAAAATACTTAAGTTTTGCTTGTAATTTATTTTCACTGAATGAATGATTCGGTGAAAAACAAAATCCAGCAAATATACCCCCCCCCCCACATGTATGTTTTACATTCAACACATCAAAAATCAGTGAAAATAAACTTCATATAAAACAACTGAAAAGTCTTCAGCGAATATTTCACAGTAGTTCATTGAATTACTAAAAATAGAATTGATGCAAGCGTAGAACGTCAAATCGCATGAACTGAGGAAGAAGTTATTAACAATACAATATGGCGCAACCAATGATTCATGTGTTGCTACTGATCAAAATGACTTGAAACACTACTCAAAATTAAACTATTCTCAGTTTGTTGCTAGAAAACGATTGTTTTATCATTCAATAACATTCTGAAGATGCTATCTGTCTCGCTTTGCATAATTTGTGAAATGACTGAGAAGTGCATGGTTTTCGAAGTCTTGGGGTATATAGATTTCTTCTATGATAGTTTTCTATATATACACGTTATCTTTAGAGCTTGCTTGAGGTTAATCCTGAGTTTCTACTCAAGGAGAGGGCTTCTATTAAGATACTGAACGAGCTGAAAAAATGTTTTATACATTCAAGTCTGTGGATAGAAAAGGTTTTTATGTTAAGGTTTTATGACTAAATTTGTTGCTATGTCCGTTGTTTCCTCACTGCACTGCAAAATTTGTGTTTGGAAACTGATTTCCATATTTATGAGCAAATGACCAATCAGCATTTGTCTTAGAATGCGGAAATGGATTGTCGGTCTCTACAAGTCGTGGTTCTCTGTAATGGAAGGAGGCCAGCCAATTGTTGATTATGCAAGCAGCCCATTACCAACAATGTAGGTGCATTTTCATTGTGGCTTTCTTGTAACTCTAAAATCTCAAGAAATATGTTGGTTTTTGATGAAACTTGATGCACAGATGCTTTAGGCTAATGCGCAGATTTGATTAGGTTTTGGTTTAAATCTGTGCCTAATAATTACTTAATTTACATGACAATTAGCTGATTTTTAGCAATTTCATGACTGTACCACTGATATCTGAAGAACCACTCATTGGATTTTAATAGATGTGCAGACCTAATTAGTTTTGGGTAGAAATCCCAAGCATATTAATTGCCTAATTTGCATAATGATTTGTCAATTTTTCTACTGATGGTAGATAGTACATAGATGCCCTGAGATAATGCTCAAACATGATTAGTTTAGGATTGAAATCAATGTGATACAAGTACTGTAGCCGATAGGGACATGCAACTGATGCTATAATTGTTAAACCATAGCTACTTGGAAACCCCCAAGATCATTGCTTGCAGTTGTATTTTTAATATGAGCATGCCTCCAGCACATGGGAGTTCTTTCAAAGATTGGTTGTTTATGCATGTACTTGGGTTAAGATGTCGATTTTGTGACTATACAAAAGTTGTTGTAAAATATCCGAATAAATCTTATTTGCAGTTGCCTCAAATGTGTGGGGGTAATTGATGAAACACTGGACTTTCCCAGGGTAGTTCCCCTTTGAACCTTGTTTACGCCAGCTGTAATGTTGTATAGGTTTCAGGTGACAGACCTTTTGAATAGTGCACTTTTGTAGTAATTCATCAAAATCTGGGCCAGTACCACCAGATGTGTGAATTCTACAATAAAAATACCAAGGCATGCCACTAGTTTCCACAATTTTATTTGCTGTTACAGTTATATGCCTTCACCAAATGATAAAGACCAAAACACAGTTATAAATGCTATATACAAATCTGTTACCATTCAAGTTATTATTTTTGTTGCTTGTCTGAATCAAATAACTTTGTAAATAATTAAATTACATATATCAATGTTTGAAGTAACTACTATTTTCATTAAATTCAATTCTCAAGTCAAATCAATTATTTAGCAGGCTGCTGTAGGATGAAAACTTATTCTGAAAATCAGTTCATACCATTTATTTAAAGTTGTACATGTTTACTTGAAACTGACAAATCAAGAAGAGAAACTTGCCTTTACCACTTTTCTTCAAAGGTGAAAACATGTTTTTCAAACACCAATATTTTAAACTTGGCAAGATATACAGCGGGAAGTTAAAATTATACCATTACTGGTCCAGTGGGTAAAAATCAAATGGTCACAAGAACCACATAAAAAATTGAAACAAAAAATTGACAAAATAATCTTAATATTTTATGAATTTGATCCCAACTTGATAAATTCTCAATGATAGATGCCTCCAAGTACCAGGTTTTTGAGAGATCGTGATGATCCAATATTAATGCCAAAGTAGTCTAGAAGGGACCATTTTTATTAGGCCTGAAGAACAAGTTTTTATGGTCAGTATGCGCACCATCAAGAAAAGTTTTGGCAGATTTTTTTTTTAACTCATTTTATTTTGATGCAAATCGCCCTGTTGATGAAACAGGAAATTTGTGCCTCGTCAAATATTTAAAGGCAAAAAAGTGCCTTACCATTTAATTTTTGGAAAACAATTTGACCAGAAACGTTTTTGCAAGGCATTATTTCAAGTAGTTTAGTCATTTACAAATGTGAGGTGGTTTAATTTTTTTTAATTTAATCAGAATCGCAGACTGAAAATATTGGTGCAACCTGAATTGGGATGGTCAAGTAATAATTAGCCGTCCTGTGCCATGCCATTAAGACGTCAAATAGACATTTCTGGAAGTCCCCGCGCAACACTTTAGTAAAACATTCTACATTTTTGTTTATAATTTTATGCATATAAAAATGAAATTTATACAATATAATAATTACATTTAATATCTTAATTTAAGACAAATAGTGAAATCTGTTCAAAAAGCGACAACAAATTTGTTGCAATCACAGTATGGTATTTCTAAGTTTTAACTATCTATAAATTTACCAAAACAGCAGCTGAAACTTAAATAGCACCACGCAAAAGTCAGAAATAGCATACATATGTATATACTTAAACAAGGGCTATAGGTATGTCGGTCACTGAAATTAATTTATCTAGCTTGGTAGTATGACCAACATGGAATTGTGCATTATATTAATACAGCATGCACATTCAAATTTGTTTCTGTGATGCTATGAAAATTTACAAGTTTGTATTATGGTAGAAGCCTACTAATCTGAAATTTTTTATGAAACTCAAGACTGTTCATTGTGTGCAATCATGAGCTATTGTCCCATGGCACAATGAAATACATGTAGCAGCATTTTGTGTGTTCAAGTTACACTTTTTTTGAGAAACCAATGGCATTTTTTTTAAACTTATCAAAACCCAGACTTTAAAAATTCCACATCCTTAACAATTATAGAGTATGGAAACCTATAGTAAAGGCAACTATCCACTACAATTCAACCATTGTTTTCTCAAAAAAAGAGGCTGGTGACAGATTCTGGACATTCTCATTTATGAGTAGGCTTCTACCTTAATGTGCAGCCTTAGACTTTGCCAGCTTAGTTAGCATTAGACCTGCGAGATCTATTTAAAAAAAAAACCTGCTTGCAGGGCTTGAGCAACAGTCAAGAGGCATTTTTTAAGACTTGTATTGGAATTGCAGAAAATATATGGGGCCTATTAAGCCTCCATGAAGCTCAAGCCCTGTGCATGTAAATACAATGTATTCAATGGAATCTGACAATTGTACTTTTCAATGTAGTATTTCCTGTGACAACAAATTTTCATCACCAATAGTTATCTGATTTATGAAATGCTTGTAGAAATACAAATTAAAATACTTCCCAAATGTTCAAAAATAATCAGCTATTTATCTAATCCATTTTACAATGAGAAAGCGCATATGTACACTATACGAGCATGCACACAGAGAAAGAATTGCATTAAACAAACTATACACAAAAAGTCTGGTAAAAAAAAACAAATAAAAATAATGGTACGAAGAGCAGCATGCTTAAATACTCCAAAATAAGACTTTATGCAAATATTTCCAAATTATTATATATTTATACTTGCACTACAAGAATCCACAACTTTGTAAAATGAACGCGACTACCTTTTTTGACAAATTTTGTAACAGCTGATTATATGCTTAAAAATTCCAAATAGTACTATGTCGTGCCCATCAATGTAATTTTAATTTCATAATGAAACAAGAGTGTTAAATGTATAATTTTACATCAGAAAAATACAACCAAAAGATTTTTGTTTTACATTTGCATAAATTGCCTTGAATTTTCCCCCGAATACCTCAATTAATCTGGAACTTTTTTTTTCAAAATGGCTGTCTATGCTGTCATGAAAAAATTCAAATTATATTTGTTTGGATATTAAACTGATCATAAAGTGACACCTGACCAATTCCACGTGCTTGGACATCAATGTGAAAATATAATACTCATAAATCTAATTATGTGAAAAGTAGACATTTACCAAAAAAAAAAAGTAAACGTGTAAATAACTTGTGCGAAAATACATTCAGGTCAAAGCATACAAACTAGACAGAATTGGTTAGATGAAAGATCCTGTAAACAAAAAAAGCTGCTCTCCGATTGGTCAGAATGTCAGCTGAACAACCTGTTAAAAGTACATTTTTGTACAAGGGGATGGGGTGAATTTGAGTTGATGATTCAGAATGCTCCAAAATTTATATAATCTTATTCATAATTTTTCAGTTACAGAGCTCTTTTTATACAAGTCTACAGGACTAGATTATGACTGTTTTGCTGCAGTAACAAGCTGCTGATTTTGAAAGCGTTCCGTGTCTACAAGAAAATAAACACAACCAAGACAAAATGCAACTTATCTGAAGAAATTATTTTGGTTCTTGCAGTTGGAAAAAAATGACTTATCCAATTGTTGGCACAGTCCATTCCCCCCACAAAAATAATGTATACCTCAGATACCAACACCATCAATCTGACGGGAAGTTTTCAAGAAAAGCTTAAAGTGTAATTGTTGACCAGCAGAAAACTTACAGACTGGTGGATAGACTATCACCTATATGAACAGCGTGCTCAGTTATCTTTGATGCAGCAGAGCTGAAAAGGTAGGCATGGGAACTACAAAATCAACATTCCAATGAGTTCAAGAATGATTGCTGGTGGAGTCTGTTTACTTCCGAGTTTTGTGGCCAGCCAACATGCTGTATAAGGTTTGACAACATTTTCATTGGCGAGTGAAAATGCAAAGACCATCACTACTTGTATTCAACCAATTTTCATTGGCAAAAAGATGATCTAGGATGCAGAATTCTTCAATTTCAAAATCTTCTTTAAAGCTCAATAGCATTCACCCTAACTTTATCACCATTTATTGGCATCTCCAATTTCATTTCTGAGTCTTCCAACAACTATCAAAATAAACATAAATACTGCATTAGATTTTCTATAATGATCTAAATATTGTACATTTTTTTTGCACAACTTTTCATCTACCAATTCTAAATAAAAACATTCACTGATCATTGGTATTACAAGTTAAAAGTAAAAGATATTGTAAGGTGAGATTATGTCCACCAATTTCTAGACATAGCGTTTAATCCTAATCTTGTTAGCTCCATGTATTTTTACATTGAATTGACCACATAATGGTTAAAGTATCTAATGTGCGAATAGTTTTTATATCATATTTTCTCTAATAGAAATGCATCTCTCCTGCAAGAGTACAGTTGAATGTGTTTGTGTGATTTGATTTCTGCACAAGGGATGGGTGTCATGACCATTATATTGATGATGCCAGAGCTGAAGCTGACAATAATTAACTCATTGCACGAACGATCATGTTATTTATTTTCATATCTAACACACATTTCAATTCATAAATACAATTGAAGTATGAAATAATTTATTTCCTGGGATAAGTGCAACATTTTTCAGATGAATGTTAAAACTGCAAAATACACAGTAAATGCAACTTTTAGAAGTTTGAATTATAAGTATCATTTATCAAATATAAAGTGTATAATGCGCCTTCACTGTTAATGTGTTATGAGAATCTGCCTGGTTTTTAGTGGTGGCGTTGCTATACGCATTTGCTTCATAGAAAAAATCCTAAACCTCAAACAGCACATCCTAAAGCGAGGGAGTTGTCAACTGTGCATGCGTCAGATGGCCATAGCGTGTTAATGTTTACAAACAAGCATCTACCCATGAGCCTTTGCATTGTTAACGTCTGTCATCACTTGAGACTCAATTCCCTCGCGTGCGCAGGTGACGACCCTCCCGCTTTAATATTTTGTCCATTCGCTATCTAGTTCAGATAGCAAAAGTTTTTTCAAAGCACTACTAATGGAGCAAATACAGTAAACGCACAACTTAATTTCCAAGTTATCTATAGGCTGGCTTTGCCATTTCATAGAAACTTATTCATTTTTTTCATCATTGTCATCAATAAATCCAACTTATTCTTTGTGGTATTTGCATATGTTAATGATACAAGACATTCATGCAGAATGCACAATTTATATGTAATAATCAAATTACATATACCAATGTTTTGAAAGATAGTTTAACTTTTTTATCACCAGACTTCCTTGCCCAAATTTTTCAATATTTTTGGAAGTGAACTCTAATTTTGGAGCCAACAGACAAAATTTGAGTCAATTTTCAGTTTTTACTCAAACTATTTGTCCCAATCTTCAGAAGGAAAGTGCAGACTATTAACAGGACTATTGTGAATTTTTCATGAAAAAAAGAAACTGGTGGTGAAAAAGGTTAAAGCGTGGTGGTCGTTGTGCAGCGCGTGTTGAAATTTCATGTAAATAAACAATGTATTTTACATGCGTTGTATATGCCGCTATGAGTCCCATATCGAACAGGACGCGACACGACGACTGCCGCCTTTTGAAGTTAGCTGAATGTTGCATTTGCATCATTTTACCTTCAGTTTCTTGACATGAATTTCATGAGTTTGATCCTCAGATGCAACTCTCTTCATTTTTCTCTCTAGCATTTTATCAATAACTTCCCACAGTATGTTTTCCTCAGGGAAATTGTTATCCACAAGATTAACAAGATAATAATTATCATGAATTGAATCAATGATCTGTCTGGATTCGGAATCATCTGCATATAGATTCCCCCAATGTTCTTTCCAGATTCCGAAGGCCTCATCCTATGAAATAACCAAAGGGAAGACAAGGCAGAAAAGCAAAATGTTAATAATTAAATCAAATCCATATTTTATAACAATGAATAAGATACATCTCACACAATACAAGCTAAACATATCCGATCCTCAACATTTTACGCCGAAATAAGTCCTGGCCCAACCTCAATAAAAAATCAATTCGAAGAAAAAGACTGAAATTAAATAGCAATCTACAGTAACGCGCAAAAACAGTTTTAACCAATTATTATATGTGGCAACTTGTAATTATTGGGAAAACAGAAAGCTAAGTAACAGCGCTAGCCAAAGAATAATGAATGTGGTTTATAATGTACATTTGTATAAGAACAAACCAAATCATATCAACTTATCAACAAAATAAAAGCTTTTGGTTGTATTTTGATAGCCAGATACTTGATTATTTGCAACATCAAGGAAAATAAGTTTATGAAGCCAACAGTATATGTCTATGTAAGGCATATGGGATTCGAACCCACCGCCTGCAGTATACTGCACGCTCTTGCCAGCTGAGCTAATGCCTTAGAAAACGCAACTGATTGGCAGAAAACAAAAAAACAGTCATGATTAAGCACAAAATGTACAATATGTCATGTTTTCTCTATTAGAAGCCTTTACACAACTAAACTGCTTGTTCTTTAGACAAACAAAGTACTGTAAAACCATTTATATTCACTGGCATTTAATTTCACTATTAATACTTTGAGCAATTCATTAACTTGGCAGTTCAACAAGTCCTAATGTTTTTATATGTTCGTGTGGATTTAATTTGGAGAATTTTACTTATCTGCAAAAAATAGCGAAATTAAAAACCAGTGAATAATTGATGTGTTTACAGTACATGTAGCAAGGCATATACCCTAATAAAGACTTTTGAAGCTTAAAAACCCATGTAAGGGGAAAGTTTCCCATCAAGTCAAACTTTCATTTGTTACTAATATTAACATATTTAATGGCACTATGATAATTAGGGTCACCCGACATGGGCCTTTAAGATTAAAGACCTTTAAAATTAAAGTGCCTTGAATTCCTGGAACAAGATTTCTGCCCAATACTGTGTACATGATTCTAATAGAGAAATTCATGGTGTGGAATTGAGATTACGGTATCATTTGTTGACTAAATTAAGTTCGACTTGGTTTGTTTTAAACAGTAAAAGTACTATATTTGATGACATTAACTAATCAGTATAGTTTGATACTTAATAAGCAAGTAAAAATAATCCAAATGTCATTTTCATATAAGTAAATATTTCTGATATATTCATTCATTAATCAACCACTATATAAAACTGATACATATTAACAAAATGTACTTTTACTATTATAAAAAATTGCTAAACAAATCACGTTTCACCAGTTCATAAAAGACATAATAAATTTTCAATATGTTAGCCAAACAAATTTGTGAATAATGATCATAGTACTAGTGGAAAGAAATCCTAACTCGATGAGGCTTAAAATGTAGGTTGACTGATACCACAGATATGTCCAGTACAATTCTAATTGTAAAAGAGTACCATGTTATGTTTTAACCAAATGCTAAAAATACACAGATCATAAGGTTTAAATTTGGTTATTCTCCCAATTCAGAAAATGCACCAAATGGATTATGTTACTTCCCTGAATTCACATATCAAATATTGAACAATCATTCAGTTTTAAATATTAGTTCTCCAAATTCAAAATATGCACCAAATGGAATATGTTACTTCCCTGAATTCACATATCAAAATATTGAACAATCATCCATTTTTACATATTAGTGGTGATCCCAAATAATCTCTACTGAAACCCACATACATGTAATATACTATTGGTAGAATTGGTAAAGTTTAACTGATTACCCGTCCGGCAGCACGTCTTCATGCCGTAGTTCTTAATAACTGACCTAAAATGGTATGCTAGTGAAGAGTGAGCTGTCAAAGCCAAAAAAAGTTGAGAAGACAACAATCTAAGTTGTTTTAATTACACATAAATTATTTTCATTTGATGCGAAAAAATCAATTTTTTATTATCAGTATTTCAAAGTATCCGGCAGCACACAATTATCTGTATATAAAGCAAATAATTTACATGTAATTTACATGCATTGCATGACTGCGACACTGAAATCCTTCAAAATATCCAAATTGTGCGAAAATCAAACTATAAAACAAGTTTCTCTACAAATATCCGGAGGGTAAATGTTTGTGTTTCAAGCTCACACTCCACTTAACATTACCTATAACTATTCATCGTGTTCCATTCATCACAGAGTCACCGTCCGAGTGGCTATAAGTGTTTATTTCAAAAAGATTTATGCATAGAAACTGTTAAGACTAAACTAAACACAACAACTTGTAACCTTTAAGCAAATTAATCAAAGCATGAGAAATGCATTTTTCATTTGGCAGTTCAGTTCATGCGATCCTGGAAATCTCTGCTCCTCTAGAGAAGGGAAATCCTCAATGAAATAACAATTTTGGTTGTTTTAATTTGTGTAATGACAATGAATTTTGTTTTAATACATATATAGTGACACTTGTTTGCAAAATGAGGGTTCAGTTTTTTGAAATTTTTCTAATATTGACAAGGCTAATATACATAATTAACTTGTTTTTTAGGAAAATAAGGATCATAATACTGTACAACCAATTTTCAAATACACTTGCTTGTTTTCAGATCACTAATAATTTCATAGCCAAATTTAACAAATGTTTGCATGAAATAAACATGCATTGTAAACATAATTGTCACTGTGTGATAACAACTACATAAAGCAGATGTTTGCACATCAAATAGCAATTACATCACTAATATGTTCCAAATATTGTAAAAAGTACAATATTGAATCCAATATCTTAGAAGACGTGGAACTGGATATGCTGCTTCATAACATTTTAAATATTTGCAAAAAGGTTACAAAGCTGACATTAAATATAACATTGCAATATAGATCTGGCAAGTCACTTTTCTGTATTAGATGAGGTATTATGATATTTCTTTCAATTTTTAATATTCAACAATAAAACAAATCAAAAACAAATATTGAAGCAAAATGATTCAATTGTTTTTGTTTGTTAACCCAAAGATTATGTCTATACCTCTTCTAATAAATTAAACATTTTCATCCTTGGACTATACAAGTGATATAACTCATCTGTAGGAAACAGCTAGTTATACCACTGAATAGCAGGGATGAGTTTAAATCAAGAAATATCAAACAAGTTTACAGAGACTAAATAATGATTTATTTGAAATAATATTTGAGAATGCATCAATGAACCATTAAATGGAGATTAAATTCCATGCTCTGCTCTTTACTAATCCAAAATTTAAAATTATTTTTAGGACTGAGCGGTATAGAAACTGAAATATCAAATAATATCATGCACATACTGCCTACTGGAAGATATCTTGAACAAAATTTTGTTTTAAAAATTTATTTTTATTTTATTGGATACATTAAAACATTCTCACATGTATGAATACAACTGCTTCATTAAACAGTTTGAGTTACTGTGTACTAAAAATCTTAATTTTCATGTTAATAATTTAAATTACTTATTTAAAATCAATATTAATTTAGGGAGAACCGGAAATACATTGAATATATTATGGGAGAGTTATTTAGACTTGATTCGAACAAAACTAGTATAAAAATAAGACTGTTGAAAACAAAATTACAATTCTATCTAATAAATATTGCAATTTAGGAATATTTTTATAATCAGTGTCCAGATACAATACCAGTTATTTAGTCTCTGCATTATTTTAATAATATTTGTGATGAAAGGATACGTAGTTTCCAGTTTTGAACTTACCTTCCAGTACCAGAAGCTGATAGGATCAACAACAGTTGGTTGTACAATTTCACGACCTGGGAAAACACCCCAGGTAACAGCGATAGGTTTCAGTTTATCTGAATTTGTTGCATCATCAACACCCTAAAGTCGAGAAAAAATAAAACAAGGTTTAAATACATTTTATTTACTATACAAACCCACTTAAAGGGGAACCGATACTATAAATAGGGGGCAAGATGGCCATTAGTATGCTAATCCAAGCAGCTCACATCGTGGCGGAAGCTCTGGGAAATGTGCCATTTACGATGTTTAGAGATCAAGCTGTGATTCCGAATACATTTCTACGGGGACATGAATATGTACGCTAGCGATTACACTCATCTGGTTGGGCTTTTGATGTATAAATGTTGTTGTTTTTGGTCGAAAATCCCGAGTTTAAAACGGCGGCTAATGTATGCAAAATGCCTGTCAATCACAGTTTGAGTAAGCAAGCATAATACGCATTCATTTACTTAGTGGACAGAGGCAGAGGTGGATCAGTAGGGGGGTTAACCTGTTTTTGATTGTGCGAATGGGGGGGGGGGGTCACCCTGTTTATGATATCATGTTTTCCAGAATTCACACACGCGCTCATGCATATATTTTTAAAAATGTTATTTCAGAACAAAC